CTTAAGGATTTGTGCAGACTATAAATGTTTGATAAACAAATATTTGCATATCAGCGCATATCCAGTCCCAGACATCCAGCACCTTCTGCATTCTTTCGAACCAGGGACCGTTTTTGCAAAATTAGATATGTCTCAACCATATCAACAGCTCCCTGTTGACAACACATCTGCTGAACTACAGATTATTGTAACTCACAGAAGCACTTTCAGATGCAAGCGCATCCAGTTTGGGGTCAGTGTGGCCCCAGGAATTTTTCAGTCATTAATGGAGAGGTTACTACAAGGGTTACCTGGTGTAATACCTTATTTTGATAACATATTAATTTCTGCCTCTGACAAATCTCAACTAATACAAAGATTTTGAGGGGTTCTCGATTGTTTCAGAAAAGCAGGCCTCAAATTGAAGAAGGAAAAGTGCACTATTGCCACACCACAAGTAGAATTTCTGGGCTACAAAGTTGATACCTCTGGCATTCACCCAATATAATCCAAGGTACACCCAATCCACGATGCACCCACACCATTAAACAAGACTGAACTTTAGTCTTTCCTGGGACTACTTAATTTTTACGCCTCCTTTTTGCCCCATAAGGCTTCCATAGCAGAGCCACTTCATAGACTCTTAGACAAATACACCTCTTGGCACTGGGGCCCTAAGGAAGCCTACGCTTTCAAGGCAGTCAAATCATTGCTTACATCTGATGCTGTTCTAATTCAGTTCAACAAAAATTTGCCTTTAATCTTGGTTTCACATGCTTCACCTTTTGGCATAGGAGCCGTATTAAGTCACAGACTGCCCAGTGGGTCTGAGGCACCAATTGCCTTTTTCTCCAGAACGCAACAATAGTCAAATTGACAAGGAGGCTTTAGCTGCAGTAACATCAGTAAAAAAAGTTTCTTGAGTTTCTCTATGGTCACCATTTCAAACTAATCACAGACCATAAGCCCCTCTTGGGACTTTTATCTGGCAACAGACAAACACCTCAGATTTTGTCTCCAAGAATGATCAGGTGGACATTATTTCTGGCTGCATATTCTTATATGCTGACACATCAAGTAGGCAAACACCTCAGCCATGCAGATGCACTCAGTCATTGCCCCCTGCCTACTCTGGTGGAGGATCCTGCACCAACCAATGCTGTGGTTTCTGATCGAAGACCTCAAACTATCCATCACTACTTCTGACATCGCTGCCCACTTTGCCAAGGGCAAGATAATATTCCAAGTCCTTGATTGGGTGGGAAGGGGGTGATCTAAAGGCCCCTTTTCACCTGAATTCTTGCCTTTTAAAATCTGTCAGCAAGAATTGTCTTCCTTACAAGGCTGCCTGCTGTGGGGAATCAGGGTGGTTATTCCTTCCCAGTTACAGATCCCAGTCCTAAAGGACTACACATGCTCTGTTTGGGAAAGAAGGAGTATTGCGTCCTAACAGACTGAGCTGGAGTTCTCACTCCGGTCTGTGCATCCAGCGAGAATGTGGGCCGCTCCTATTGGCTGAGGCCATTTGACAACTGACTATAAAAGGGCATCAGCTGTTGCCCGTCAGCTGGCTGCCCCATTAGCTTGCGGCAGCTGCGGCAACCCTTTATTGTTAAATAAAGTTACAGCTGAATGTTGCTCCAAGTTGCCTGCATTATTCTGCCCACCTATATTACAATTAGGAGGCCAGATTAATTTGGTGAAACTGTTCCTATACACAGGGGTGGGATTCAAAAATCCCAGCAACCAGTTCTCTGCCTGGTTGCTGGGTAGGCATGGCCATGGTGGGCATGGCCTACTGGAATTTCTGGGAGGGCTGTCTTTCACCTTCCCCAGAGTCCAGCAGTCCTCTGGGAGAGCAAAAATGGCCTCCCATGGACTCCAGAAGCTCTCCGAAAGCCAGAAACAGGCCCGTTTCTGGACTTCTGGAATTTTCAGGAGGTTCATTTTTCACCCTCCAACAGCCTCCTCATAGACCGTGCAGTTACCTGCATCCAAAGTGGGCTGCATGGAGACTCTTTGGAGGGGTGGGGCAGGATGGGAGGGGCCAGCTATTCAGTTCAACTATTGGTTCGGCAAACCAGATGTAATTTTAACATCTGGTTTGCTTGAACTGTCCTGAACCAGCTGAATCCCACCCCTCCTATATAGATTTTTTCTTTTTTCTTTTTAAAAAAAATCCTTACAGGTAGCTCTCAACTTATAATCATTCATCTAGTGATGTTCATTCTGGGTTTTTTAAATTATTATTTAAAAAACTAAGAAAAGAATCAATTAAATCCAAAATTACATGTCAGTTACAACTTTTGGGAACTTTGGTTATAGTGTAACCCCTTTATTCTTCAAAGCAGTGCATGGAAAGAACTGTTCATTGTTTCCATTTTTCACTTTGAGATCTCTTCCCTTTATAAACTACTGGGTTGTTTTTTTTGGCACCAGCCAATAAAACCAACACAATCCTAAATTGTATTAAAAGAGAGATATAATCAAGGTCAAATGATGTACCAATACCACTCTATAAAGACTTAGTAAGACTAAACCTAGAATACTGAATCCAGTTTTGGTCACGACACTATAAAAAATGTTGAGACTCTAGAAAAAGTGCAAAGAAGAGAAACCAGGATGATGAGGGACTTGAGACTAAAACTTATGAAGAACGGTTACAAGAACTGGGCATGTTTAGTCTAGTGAAGAAAGAAAGGACCAAGGGAGACATGATAGCAGTGTTCCAATATTTGAGGGGCTGCCCCAGAGAGGAGGGGATCAAGCTATTTTCCAAAGTACCTGAAGGCCAGATAAGGAATAATGGAGGGAAACTGATCAAGGAGAGCTTCAACCTAGAACTAAAGATATATTTTTTTTGACGGTGAGAACAATCAATCAATGGAACTGTAGTTGCCTTTGGATGTTGTGGGAGCTTCATCACTGGAGGCTTTTAAGAAGAGACTGATCTGCCATTTGTCAGAAATGATGTAGGGTCTCCTGGTTGAGTGGAGGGGTTGGACTAGCTGACTTTTACAAGGTCCCTTACAACTCTGTCAATCTAATCTAATCAACAGATAAAAGACAAGCATGTCAAAATCATAATACAGTTTGATTTGAGTTTTGCTAATTCTCTGGATATTTTTGTTGTCATATATATGTATATGTGTATGTGTGTGTGTGTGTGTGTGTGTGTGTGTGTGTGTGTATTGTGTGTGTGTGCATGTTTGGAATAAACAATTCCCCTTCCCCTATAATTTATTTAGTTTTTGAGTGCCACTAAGGAAGACATAAATTCTAATGAATGCACAACAAAATCCATTTTCCTTCACATTGAAAAGTTTATTTCTTATGAAGGATTATGATTGTACACAACAGAATAATAACCAATCCTGTTGACATGTTCAGGATTTAAAAACCTTGAGCATCTATACAGGTAATCCTCAAATTACAACCAACTGTTTAGTGACCATTTGAAGTGATAATGGCACTGAAACAGAGACTTATGATCCTTTTTCAGACTTAGGACCATTGCAGCATCCCTATGGTCATGTGCTCAAAATCCAGATGCTTAACAACTGACTCATATTTATGACGGTTGCTGTCAGATGGTGCTCCATTCAAAATCCAAGAAAGACAGTCTTAGACTCCATTGTTATGGAGAAAAGAAACATTTACTGGAAATCAAGTGGTAGCATCAAAGGGATTCTAGATCTGAGGATTTACATGGAAAAAACACATATACAAAGTTATGGCAATGTTCCCACCAACAACGCTTCAGGTGGTCCATTTAATCGAAGATGTGTATAATGTCATGAGGGGCATCTTCAGGTGGTGATGCAGACATCTGACCCTTGACCTTGGCCTAGTTGGATAAAGAGCTGCAGTTGCACAGTAAGCAAGTGAATAAGCATAAACAACAAAGTTTTCCGCAAGTTATACAGTTCATTCTCTAAAACCTCCAGCACATTTCCCACCCCTCAAAGCCCAATTGATTCACCCTCCCCACATTACTATGGCAGCCATAAAGATAGTGAGAAAAAGGAAAGGAGTCTTGAAGGCTGACAGCTGTGGTGTCCCAGGGTCACTTGATCCCCCTTGGTGACCTTCTCATAAGCAAAGTCAATGGGAAAGCCAGATTCAAAAACAAAGATATTTATTTAATATATGTCTTTATTTCTTTATTGAATTTATATTGAGGCTTATTTGCCCATATTGACTCAAGGTGGCTTACAGAAAATAAAACCTCATTTAAAATAATAAAACTAATAAAAAGAATCAAATAAATTAATATAGCATAATATAATGAAATCACCCCCTACCTCTTGCCCCGGTGACAGAAGATCACACAAGTCATTTAATGTTCTGGTTTCCCCAGGAGCACTGGCAGAACCAGGTCTTCAGCACCTTTAAGAAGACTGTTAAAATGGGGGCCATTCTAATCTCTGGGGGGATGATGTTCCAGAGAGAGGGATCCACCACAGAGAAGGCCCTTCTTCTTGGTCCCACCAGGTGTACTTCCCTGGTGGATGGGACCTGCAACCTTTCTCCCCCCCCCCGGTGGGTTGGATAGATGTGACCAGCAGGAGACCGTCCCTCAGATAACCCGGTCATGAAGGATTTTAAAGGTAACAACAAGCACCTTGAATTGAACCCAGAAGCAAATCGGCGATCAATGCAGCTCCTGAAGCAGAGGTAATATATACACACACTGAGGTCTGCACAAAGTCAGGCGGGCTGCTGCATTACTAGCTTAACTCCAGTGATTCATTTAACAACCATGGCAAGAAAGATAGTAAAGTGGGGTAAAACTCACTTAACAATTGTCTCAACAACCAAATTGTTGGACTCACATTGTAGTCATAAGTCAAGGACTACCTGTATTGTAAACTATAAAGTCAAATGGTGTTTTTAAGTCTGAAATTATTGCCAGTTGAATTCTGGTTGCATTGCTCAAAATGTCACCAGTGCCACAATCCTCTAAATTTCATCTCATTTCTAGTACATATGAGAGTTCTGGAACTATTCTGCTCATTGTCTCAATTTAAGGTGCCTTTCCTTTTATGGATTGCATTCTGGATGGCTTTTTTGACTTCGGCATTCCGAATTGTGTATATGAAAGGATTCAGCATTGGGGTAAGCATGGTGTTAAAGACTGCCACAGTCTTTGACAAGCGAAATGAGAACTGGATGTTGGGTCTCACGTACATAAAGACAAGAGCTCCATACAATATGGACACCACCAAAAGGTGTGATGTGCAGGTGGAGAAGGCCTTCTTCTGCCCCACCGTGGAGGGGATGCATAGGATGGTGGCAATAATGAAAATGTAGGACAGAATCATGAGAAGCAAGGTCATAATCACGCTTACAAAGGCGGCTAACAGTCTGAGAAACTCAATGAGATGCGTATCCGCACAGACAAGCCTCAACACAGGACCAAAATCACAGTAGAAATGTTCAATGACATTGGACCTGCAGAACGGCAATCTCCAAACCATAAAAGAATTAGGAAAGATAACTATAAGGGCAGCATACCAGGTGGCCAAAGACATTTGAAGGCACACGTGCTTGGACATCATGATGGGATACTGAAGGGGCTTGCAGATGGCCAGATAGCGGTCAAAGGCCATAGCTGTCAGGATGAAAAGCTCTGTACTACCGAAAAAGAAGTGAAAAAATCCTCGAATAAGACAGCAGTGGAAGCAGATGGTGGTTTTGCTTTGTATAAATGTCTGTAGTAATTTGGGCACTACAGTGGAGGTATAGCAAATCTCCAGGAAAGCAAGGTTGCTCAGGAAGATGTACATCGGTGTCTGAAGTCTTGGCTCAATTGTGACGATGATGAGGATGAAGCCATTCCCAAGGATGGTTACAATGTACATGAACAGACCCAGCACAAAGAAGACTCGGTGAAAGTCATACAGAAAAGGAATTCCTAATAGGATAAATTCAGTTACTCGGGATGTATTCCTGGGTTCCATCATTTCAAAATGGTTAATGATTTCTCAGCAATAGCTCAGAAGACATCTAACATTTCAAAAAATTATTGCTAACATGTACATTATATTTACAAATAAAGTTAAGAAACAGAAACAAATGAAGAAAAAAAAAATCCGAAAACAGGAAGGAAGGATGTACAGTGCTTTTAAAACTTGTGAAATGTTCTATTTATCTAAATTTGTTTCTCCAGAAAACTGACTTATTGTTATAACACCTACACATTTAATGAAAACATGAAATGCATTTTATCATTTCCAATATATTATGCCAAGAAGTGTATGAAAAGTCACTATAGTAATGTCAGGTGTACCACATTATATTTCAATATTTGGACTGATATTGCAGAAGTTACACTTCTTTTTTTTTCTGTAATAAAAGAAGAACACATTTAAGGAAAAAAATCTTACTAAATAAAAGAGAATTCAAAGGTGCTTTTTCAAAAGGCAACTGGACTTCCTTTTCCCCCCCTTGAAGACGCTTTGCTTCTCACCCAAGAAGCTGCATCAGTTCTTAATAGATGGCTGGGGGGATGGTACTATTAGTTATTCCTGTCAGAATTGATCCTTCCACCACTACCCCATCTTATCAGAACTGATGAAGCTCGTTGGATGAGGAAAAATTAAGGAAGTCCAGTTGCCTTTTGAAAAAGCAATTATGAGACAATCATGACCTGGATATCTGAGGATTTTCATCGATAAATAAAGGAACATAGTTCATTTAGGAAACATTGCATAACATTTTAATATATAGGATTGATTTCTGAAATCTCACATGAGAATAGTCTTTACATGATCAGATTATGATTGGTAAAAAAGAAAAATAAAGTCTAAAACATTGTATAGTCATGGAAATAGAAATATATTAATTTTGTCTGAACAATCAGACAAACGTTTACCAACACCTGTCTTATTCTTTGAACCTGGAAAGTGCTACTATAAACTTTTGCAACTGTCTCAGTCCCCTGTGAGTGTCAATTAGGTCAAATATTTACAAATAAAATTGTCCATCTCATTTCTAGTACATATGAGAGTTCTGGAACTATTGTTTCACTCATTGTCTTAATTTCAGGTCCCTTTCATTTTATGGATTGCATTATGGACAGCTTTTTTGACTTCAGCATTTCGAATTGTGTATATGAAAGGATTCATCATTGGGGTAAGAGTGGTGTTCAAGATTGCCACAGTCCTTGACAAGCGGAATGAGGACTGGACGTTGGGCCTCACATACATGTACATAAGAGCTCCGTACAATATGGACACCACCACCAGGTGACATGTGCAGGTAGAGAAGGCCTTCTTCCTCCCCATGGCAGAGGGGAGTTTCTGCATAACAGAATAGCCAGCTCTGAATCCAAGCAGATTCTTTGTTGATGCAACCCTTTTTCTTAGTGGTTTTAGTTCTTATTGTTATAATTTGACTGGCAGGAGGATGATTGGAATTACCTGGAAACAGGATTTGGGAATTTTGAACTTGGCTTAACTTGGGGACAATTAATTTTAACTCCAAGCAAGCTTTGTTTTTAAACTTAGCCCCTACACTCCCATATCTCAATCTCATGTTACTTTTTTGGATGGGAGGGGAGGAGAAGGGAGGGAGGAAAGGAGAAAGTGATTTGAGCATTAAAGAAGAAGAATTGATAAGACTGTGCAGTGCTAAGATTAAAAAGAAAATCAAACTGTGATTCATTGCATATTTGAGACTCTGAATATTGGGCTTCCTTCCTTTGACACAAAGCAGTTGTTTCCTTCTCTGGGATTTGTATGTCACACCCACACCCACACCCATACCCACACCCACAATGAGATTCCTGGTAAGTTCCTATTGACTGAAAAAGCTCCAGAACATTCCTAAAATATAACCTGCTCGAATCTTTATCAGGTTGCAAATAGTAACCTACTTTTAAGCTTCCAAAGAGGAACTATTTTCTCTCACTTCTTTATTTCTGGAGGGGCTTCTTGAATGAGAAGCGAAACATTTTCAAGCAATATAGGAAAGTCCAGTTGCCTTTAGAAAGAAAGCACCTTTGGGGCAACCATGACTGGATGACTGAGAATCTTCATACAGGGAATTCTTTAAAAAGAACAGTTTTTGATTTCTTTATCTATAATTCTGCATCTTTAAAATAAACCAGCCAATTCCAAATCGCAGAATCCTAAAATGAACGAGCATGTGGGATTTTTCTCTCTATATGTCTCTCTATCTTTTTGACCATCATACCAACAATTTGGAAAAAAAAATGGAGAGAAAGTGATACGGATGCAAATTTCAAGGCTGCTGAATGATCAATGATCCAGACTAAATCTTGAAACCTAGAAACCTCCCCACCTCCCCAATTCAAACAGATTAATACAATAGGGGGAAAAAACCCTTATCACTGCATTCACAAGAATTTTATTTCATGGTGCTTAATTAGATTGAAATAAACCAGAGTCAGTTTTTGCTAAGGTCCAGAAATGACTTTGTATCAACACCTCCCTGACAAGAGTTTGAATCCTGGCATGATTTTCAAGGCCATATGAAACTTGGGGTCCCAAAACTTGGCATGATTTACAGCTATTATTCCAATAGCATCACTTACATTCAAGAATATCTATATATCATGGCTTAGTCTACATCTGTTTGCCTGTCTGTCTGTCTGTCTGTCTGTCTGTCTGTCTGTTTATCTATATCTTTCTTTCTCTTTGTCTTTTTATCTATCTATTCATCTATCCATCTGTCTGTCTAGTTATCTTTCTGTCTCTCCATCTTTCTGCCCAACCATCCATCTATCCAATCTGTCCATCCGTCAGTCCATCCGTCTGTCTGTCTGTCTGTCTGTCTGTCTGTCTGTCTGTCTGTCATCTCTGTCTGTCTCACACTCTCTCTCTTGCTGGCTAGCTATTTAGCTATCTATCATCACAGCTTCCACATGTAAAAGATTTTCTCCTTTGAGTGCAGTTTTTTCTCTCTCAAAAACACCAGTTTTACAGATGTTGATAAGGGCACAGTCTTTAAACAGGATTACAGTCCAGATCAAATAAATAATCTCTGTTCTTACCTTTTAATCACTATTGTATGTATTCTGGAGACCATATTAACAAAGAAAAGCCTTACATATAAGTAGCAAGTGTGAATAACCGGAGGTTTTTTTTTTCCTTATGTGATTTCTTAACAGGTCCTCAGGGATATTGCAAAAGTTTCCACACTGGTGTGTAGTGAAAGAGTGTGATTAATTCATTTTGTTAAGAGTCAAGAATGAATGGAAAATTAAGCCAGGATGACTAACAACGATAGTATATAGGATGTGATTTATATATTTTCCATATTTTTTAACATTTTTTTCTCTCTATTTCACCCTTTGAATGATGTTTATCCAACATCCCCTTTGAGGGAGTCACTCTCATCTCTCAAGAGCCCAGCCGAAGTTTCCTCTGCTGCATCTGAGAACACGTGCCACCCTATGATGGAGATTTCCAACCCCACCATGGTTCAAGATCAAGTGAGGTACTAATACCACTCTATAAAGACTTATTAAGATCACACCTAGAATACTGCATCCAGTTTTGGTCACCACACTATTAAAAAGATGTTGAGACTTTAGAAGAAGTACAGAGAAGAGCAACCAGGATGATTAGGGGAGAATAAAACATATGAAGAACAGTTACAGGAATTGGGCATGGCTAGTCTAGTGAAGAGAAGGACCAAAGGAGACATGATAGCAGTCTTGCAATATTTGAGGGGCTGCCACAGAGAGGAAGGGGTCAAACTATTTTCCAAAGCACCTGAAGGCCTGACAAGGAATAATGGATGGAAACTTATCAAGGAGAGATTCAATCTAGGAATGAGAAATTTCCTGACAATGAGAACAATCAACCAATGGAACAGAAGTCACCTTCAGAAGTTGTAGGAGCTTCATCACTGGAAGCTTTCAAGAAGAGACTAAACTGCCATTTGTCAGGATTGGCATAGGGTCTCCTGCTTGGGTGGAGGGGCAGTTGGACTAGTTGGAGGGCAGAGCTGACGTCATAGTATCACATTGAGCTTTCTGGGAGTTCCTGGGGACAGCCTCAATATCCTGGCTGTCGGGTGGTCCAGATGGACCTAAATCATTTCAGAGGGCCAATAACTTAAGAAAGCACACTTTGTTGATCCCAGGGAGACTGAAAACTCCCTGGTTGATCCAAAGGAAGCCTTCAAAACCAATGGCAGAGGAAAGCGGCCAAATGCTATGAAGCTGGGACAGCTGCCAAAAGAAAGAGAAGTTTGAAAGAAGGTATAATCGCTCTGGGTGAGGAATTGAACTGAACTTTAATTTCAAATCTATTGGGAGAAAGAGCCCCCTGGGGAACAGTGGGGTGAAAATGAGACTCAAGAAGAGAGGCAGAAGTGGGTTTTTTTCCACTCCACCACTAAAAGCGGTGAGGAAAGTTTTTAAAGAGCCAATTGAAAAAGGAAGCAATCAATTGTGGACTTCCTGAAAGAATATCACCATTGCAGCATCTCAATCATGTACTCAAAATTCAGATACTTGACAACTGACTCATATTTATGACACTTGTGATGTCCCAGGGTCACGTGATCCCCTTTGGTGACTGTCTGACAAACAGAATCAATGAGAAAGCCAGATTCTCTTAACAACCATATTTATTTATCTGTTTATTTAGTTTTAATTAATTAATTAATGTAATTTATATTGCCACCTATTTGCCCATGGTGACTCAAGGTGGCTTACAGAATATAAAACCTCATTTAGAACAATAAAAATAATAGAAAGAATCAAATAAATTAATATCGCATAATAAAATAAAATCACCTCCTACCCCCGCCCCAGTGACAGCAGATCACCCAAGCCATTTAATGGGCTACATGGTTTCTGAGTTCTCCAAGCCCACTGGCAGAACCAGGTCTTCAGTTTCTTCTGGAAGAGTATTAGAGTGGGGGCCATTCTAATCTCTGGGGGAATGACGTTCCAGAGAGAAGGATCCATCACAGAGAAGGCCAT